CTCATTATCTTTTCCAGAGCCAAATGTTTAATTTTGTGAAATTCCTAGCATTGGCACAAGTTAAAATAAATAACTCATCTTTATTCTGCTTAAACTTAAACATTGTTCAAAAGGGTCATGTGCAGTGGCTCATGCCTGTAATCCCAGCACTTTGGAAGGCTGAGGTGAGTGGATTGCTTGAGCCCAGGGGTTCGAGACCAGCCTGGGCAAAATAGTGAAATCCCATCTCTACAAAATTCACAAAAGTTAGCCAGGCATGGTAGTGAGCACCTGTAGGCTTGGCTACTTGACAGGCTTAGGCCAGAGGATCAATTGAACCCAGGAGGTAGAGGCTACAGTGAGCCATGATCATGCCACTGCACCCCAGCTTGGCTGACAGAGCAAGACCCTGTCTCAAAGAAATGAAAATTAAAAAAAAAAATTTTAAAAGGAAACAGAAAGAGTAACATGAGGTGGAGAGAAGTTAAATACCATTACCAGATATTAAAATAGCTTATATATCCTCCATAATTAAAACATTATGGTATTAGGAAACTATTATCTGGGTAGACCAATAGCAGTGAACAGATGCACAAAAATATACTCAAATGTGAATGGAAATTTATGAAAAAAGTATCATCTTATATCACTGGTGTAAAAAAGGCTTTCACAATAAACTGTATTGTTGTAGTTTTCATTATATAATGACATTCTTTGTCCCTTTTTATAGTGTTGGACTTAAAGTCTATTTTGTTTGATATAAATATAGCTACCCCTGCTCTCTTTTGGTTTCCATTTGTATGGAGTATCTTCTTCCATCTCTTCACTTTCAGTTTATGTGTGTCCTTAAAGATGATGAAGAGAGTCTCCTACAGGCAGCATATAGTTGGGTCTTATTTTTTAATCCATGCAGCCCCTTTTTATTCATTGGAGAATTTAGCCTATTTATATTCAAGATGATTATTGATAGGTAAGAACCTACTGCTACTATTTTATGGTTCCAATATAGTAATAAAGGGGTTCATTCATCAAGAGGATATAACAATTATAGATATACATTCACTCAACATTGGAGCACCTAAATATATAAAGTAAATATTAATAGATCTGAAGGAAGAGATAGGCAATAATGCAGTAATACTAGGGGACTTCAATAACCCACTGTCAACAATGGACATAACATCCAGACAAAAAAATCAACAAGGAGACATAAGACTTGAACTACACTTTGGACAAATGGACATAACAGACATACCCATAGGGTTCTATCCAGTGGCAGCAGAATAATTCTTCTTCTTCCTCCTCCTCCTCCTCCTCCTCCTTCTTCTTCTTCTTCTCCTTCTTTCTTCTTCTTCTTCTTTCTTCTTTTTCCTCTTCTTTTTTTTTTAACAGGGTCTTGCTCTGTCACTTAGGCTACAGTACAGTGGTAGGATCATGGCTTACTGCAACCTCAACCTCTTGGGCTCAAGGGATCCTCCTGCCTCACCCTTCCTAGTAGGCTGGCTAACTTTTTACCTTTTATTTTGTAGAGATGAGATCTTGCTCTGCTGACCAGGCTAGTTTCAAACTCCTGGCCTTAAGCAGTCCTCCTGCCTTGACATCACAAAGTGTTGGGATTACAGATATGAGCCACTGCACCTGACTGACATTCTTCTTCAGCACACTTGGAACACTATCTAAGATAGACCATATGTTAGGCCACAAAACAAGTTTTTACAAATGTAAGAAGATTTAAATCATATCAAGTATCTTTTCTCACCATGATGGTATGAAACTAGAAATCAATTAACAAGAAGAAATTTGGAAAATTCACAAAACATGGAAATTAAACAACATTCTCTGAATAACCAAGGGGTCAAAAACAACAACAACAACAACAACAACAAATGGAAAGCAAAAAGTATATTGAGACAAATGAAAATAAAAACACAACATACCAAAATTTATGGGATGCAGCAAAAGTAATTCTTAGAGGGAAGTTAATAACAATCATGCTTACATAAAAAAAGAAAGATCTCAAATTAATAACCTTACGTTACACATCAAAGAACTAGAAAAAGAACAAACTATGCCCAAAGTTAATAAAAGGAAGGAAATAATAAAGATAAGGGCAGAAATAAGATAGACACTAGAAAAACAATAGAAAGAATCAACAAAACTGAAAATTATACTATTATAGTAAGAATAGTTAAAAAATTAAAATTAAAAAATTAACAAAATTAATGGTTGGTGTTTTGAAAAGATAAACAAAATGGCCAGCCCTTTAGATAAACTACAAAAGAAGAGAGAGACTTAAATAAAATCAGAAATAAAAGACAAGACATTACAACTGATACCACAGAAATATGAAAGATTACGAGATACTATGAAGAATCATACACCAACAAATGGGATAGCCTAGAAGAAATGAATACATTCCTAGACAAATACAACACACCCAGATTGAATTATTAAGAAATAGAAAATCTGAACAGACAAATAATGAGTAACAAGATTGAATCAGTAATAAATGGTCTCCCATAAAAGAAAACCCCACAATCTCATGGCTTCACTGCTGAATTCTACCATTTAAATAACTAATACCAATCCTATCAACTCTTCTGAAAAATTGAAAAGGGAATCCTTCTCAATGCATTTAATGGGGCCAGTACTATCCTGAAACCCGAGCCAGACAAAGACACTATGAGAAAAGAAAATTGTTGGCTAATATCCCTAATGAATATAAGTGCAAAATTCTTCACAAAATACCAGCAAACTGAATTCAGCATCACATTAAAAGGATCATTTATGTCAGTGGGGAAAACCTCTAATAATGGAATTACCAGGTCAAAGAGTACTCCCCCCAACCCCAAATTTTAATAGATACTGAGAGATTGTCTTACAAAAGTCTGTATAAATGCCCAATCCCAACAACAACAAATAAATGTGCACATTTCCCTTGCAACATTGGGTGTTAACCATCATTTCTTGCTGTTGTTTGCCCAGGGCAGCCTTGGTTTTCACCTGCTCTCCTAGCATAATTCTTAACAGTGGCCCTTTCACTCTTAAAATGGGCCCAGTTTGGAAGATACATGGTCACTCTACTAAACTTTAAAACTGATACATATTGTCTCTTCCCCAGAGATTCTCCAGGAGGCTCTGTAGGCTTCTGGAAGGACTTGCATTCTCTTCCCTCTCTCTCCTATTAACTTGCACTGACTCCTTCAAAAGCCATAGAATTATGGAATGTGCCTCTAGCTAGGGACCTCCTTTCTGTGCAGATAGAAGTAGGAGGTGGCAATGAAAGTATACCTGTATGTTTAACCTTGCTGAAAGGCAAATGTGCACACACATACATACACACACAAAGCCAAATTTGTAACTATGTTGTAATCCAAAGGATAGTCCTTAGCTGTCCATCATTTGACATGACATAGATGTTGATAAGAGGATTCCAGCACTGGAAGTGGTGTTGGGTAGGATGAACTTTAGGTGCCTTCAGTGTTGAGATTCTGTGATTACAGTAGTAACAATTGACACTTATTAAGGACTTATTGAGTGTCGGGGTAGTTCTAGAAATTTGAGCTATAAAATCTCATTTTGTCCTCAAAGTTACCAAAACAATAATTTAGTCACTGTTTTTAGGTAATATTAACAAATTAGGAACTAAGGCACAAACAGATTAAGTTAGTTGTCTAACGTGGCATACTTAGTAAACGGAAAGACCAGATTTCAACAAAGGCAGTCTGAACTGTTATATCTCCACTTTCTGCTGCCTTCCCTTTTTATAGCAGGGGTTGGGCGGGGAGGGGTTGATGGGGGTCTCTTTGTCACCCAGGCTGAAATGCAGCGGCGCAATCATAACTCACTACAACCTCCAACTCTTGAGCTCAAGCAATCCTCCCACCTCAGCCTCCTGGGGAGCTGGGACTACAGACACATGCAACCATGCCCAGGTAATTTGTTTTTATTGTTTGTAGTGATGGGGTCTTGCTGTATTGCCCAGGCTGGTTTTGAAGTTAGCTTAAGTGATCTCACCTTGGTCTACCAAGTAGTTAGGACTACAGGTGTGAGGCACCACACTGGCTTGCTTTTAAATTTTTTTGTAGACATGGAATCTCGCTATATTGTCCTGGCTAGTCTCGAACTCCTGGCCTCAAGAGATCCTCCCTCCTCCACCTCCCAGAGTGCTGGGATTACAGAGATCAGCCACTGTGCCTGGCCTTCTGCTGCCTTCTACTTCATGTTTCGGGCACTGAAAATCTGCCTACATTTTGCAGATTTGATTTCCATTTTGTTTCTTAATAATTCTAATGATATTCCTGAAAGTTGCTTAATAGAAGGGAGAAAATGGCATGCAGAAAATTCATGCAATATAATTTGAAACCTTACCATTGAAGAAACTTCCTTCTGCTCTTTCTGGAAGATCTATTTTCAATTATCTATTCAGCATATACTATAAGAAAAAATAAATTTATCTTTTCAAATTCTTTCTAGGAAAAGTAAATAAAAACTTACATAATTTTTAAAATGTTAAACATGAAACATTCATGAATAATAAAAAGATTTCTGAGATTTTAATATTGTTGCTATTTTAATATTTAAGGCTCAAGTGACTTAAGGTACTATCAACTTGTAATTGACAAAAAGGGAAAGATCAGATGTTTGATGGTGACCACAAGACTAGTTGTCTCCAGTTACAGAAAAGCTGTGGATGCTTAATGAATCCCTAATCCCAGCAAACCATCTTCTGAATTCATTTTCTAGGAAAGAAGTGTGGACCAAGAAGGGCACTATTACTACCAATCCTGAAAAAGAACTGTCTTCACAGGTGAGGAGTATCGCAGTGTACATAACATTTTATAGGCTCCATATTTTCCTATTCCACAGTCAGAAGCCTGCTTATTCTATGTCTTACATAAATACTCTGAAAACTACCATATGCAAATATATTACCAATCATCTCCTAATGTGTAAGTCCAGAGGACACTCATGAATCTCTCTCCCTCCATCTCCAGACCCCTTTCTCTTGATGTCTATGACACCACAGTCTCCCACTTTTTCATCTTCTTCTCAGTTTCTTTTCAGAACCCTGTTTTGCTTACTCAAGTCTTTAATGTAGGCATTCCCACTGGGCTCTCTCATGGGTAAAAAATCATCCTGCCTTGTGAATTTGACTACACTTTATTCCCTGCAATGAATCTGACAATTCTCAATCAGTGAAAAGATAACTGTGTCTACCTAAACTAATTAAATACCTAATCTTGTGCTCTTTTCAGTGTTTTCCCTGGGTCAATGTGCTGTGGAATTTAAAATGGATGGGGAAAAATTGAAATGCAGCATTATTCTCTGCAGCCCCCTGGTTTAATTTCAATCTTCAGAAGAAGCAGCATTTGCCCTACACTTTGGCTCCTGTCCTAAAATAGCTTTTTGAAACATTTCATGATCCTGTTATCAACCAAACAATTTCTACATAACAAGGTCTAGGAGTTGACAAAGGAGTGTGTATGTGTTTACCATTTCATTCTTACCCTAAAAGGTTTACCCTGCTTCCCATCCAGATTTTGCAACCTAAAAGTATGGGTCCCGGGTTTTTCTACATTTCCTATTATTATGCCCCTGCAGCCCAAAGCACTAAAATAATCTGGAGACCCCCACCCCGCAAAGTTATTTTAAAATAGTAATTATAAAGGACTATGCAGTACTCTTTCCTCAGTCATATATTATTATGATGTAAAATTTTTTTTGTAGTCCAATTAAGTGAACAGGGGAATCATGATTTTGACTCCAGTTGGGCTTTCAGGATCCAGACCTGGGTAGAGGATTGGGAGTGCCTGCCCAGGAACTGTGGGTGATCAACCAAAGGAAGCCAAGATTTGAGTCCTGGATAAGGGAAAGCTTTGTAAGTGAGGGAAAGTTTGGAATCGAGTTGAGGAGAGTGGATAGGTTAGCCAAGGAACTGGGTAAAATGAAGTGAATTAATCTGGGAAAGCCTGCAAGAATTCCTGAAGACAAAGGTCATCTTTTGTTGGGTTGCTTTTGTGGAGTGGGAGTTGGGGTAGCAGGGGAAGCTATGAATATCCCCAACTGGGCTGGAAAATTTTAGCCCTTCTCTGTCAATATTGTGATTTTACCAATCCCGGTCTAGCTATTGAGGTTACCAAAATGTATCATGGAAATGGGAAAAATGAAATCTGTTGTTATGAGTCCTACCATACTTTGATTTTTGTTGTTGTTTTCAGAGACAGGGTCTTCCTCTGAGCCCAAGCTGGAATGCAATGGTGCAATATGTATGCAATGCAAAGTGTTCATCATAACCTCGAATTTCTAGCCTCAAACAAATCCTCCCACCTTGGCCTTTCAAAGCATTGAGATTACAGGTGTGAGTCACTGTACCTGGCCCCTACTCATACTTTAATTTTGATGTTTGGAACAAGGTAACAAGCTGTTACTGAAGGAGTCTGGGACGCTCCATCAAAAAATGAAAACACTTGCCAGTAGCACTGCAGTTGGGAACAGGAACTGTTTCTCGTCTTCCATAAAAATAGACACGATTTCTGTTCAAAATGATGGTGAATTTAGAATTAGGCTTATTTTCAGAACAGTAAAAGTTATAGTTGGAACTATTTTTTTCATTAGACTCCTTTTTTTTTATTTTTTAATTATGTTTGAGACAGAGTCTTGCTCTATCAACCAGGCTGGAAGTACAGTGGCACGATCTCAGCTCACTGCAACCTCCACCTCCTGGGTTCAAGCAATTCTTGTGCCTCAGCCACGTGAGTAGCTGGGATTACAGGCACTCACCACCACACCCAGCTAATTTTTGTATTTTTAGTAGAGACAGGGTTTTACCATGTTGGCCAGGCTGGTCTTGAACTCCTGGCCTCAAGTGATCCACCCACCTCAGCCTCCCAAAGTGTTAGGATTGCAGGCGTGAGCCACTGCACCCGGTCTTATGCAATATTCTATCATTGCTTTATTAAATTCTGCTTTTATCCCTCCACAAGGAGAATTAAAACATTTAATTAAGAAAAGCAATTAAAATAAATGGAATATCATTTAAAATATCCATAAACTAGCAATAGAATTAACAATTGCTTGTTTACTTGTCTGTGTCCCCTTAGTTATAAGCTCCATGAAGGCAAGGGTTTGATATTTCTTTTTTTTTTTTTCTTTTTTTTCGTAGATGGAGTCTCACTATGTCACCTAGGCTGGAGTGCAGTGGTATATGATCTCAGCTCACTGCAACCTCTGCCTCCTGAATTCAAGCGATTCTCCTGCCTCGGCCTCCTGAGTAGCTGGGACCACAGGTGCGTGCCATCATGCCCAGCTAAGTTTTGTATTTTTAGTAGAGATGGGGTTTCACCATGTTGGCCAGGCTGGTCTCAAATTCCTGACCTCATGTGATCTGCCCACCTCGGTCTCTCAAAGTGCTGGGATTGCAGGTGTGAGCCAGCACGCCCCGCCTGATCTTTCTTGCTTATTGTTATATCCCTATGACAATGACATTGCTTAGTAGATAATAAATACTCAATAAATATTTGCTAAAAGAATAGATGACAATGAAGGAGGCATCAAGTACATGGACAGTGAAAAACTTGTATTCTCTAACATTTGAAACTTTTTAAAGTGCTTTAATTTTTATAAGCATAACTGCTGAATAATAATATTAGATCAAATGTACCTGTAAGTATTTTGATATTTCATTGGTCATTCTAGGATATTTTTAAAAAGAGTCATGTTTCTAAAACCTAACCAGGATCTTTGGTTTATGAAGTGCAGTAAGTCCTTAAGAAGATAAATTCTTCTACAGAATACAGAACTCATTGAATTAACAAGGTCTAGAAGATCTCTTGAAGAAATTCAGAAAGAAGAGATGGTGGATATACAGCAGAGTTAAACCAGAACTGAGTACAGTTGTTGGACCATATTTGCAGAGAGGCTTCAGGGTTTTTCATTTAAAATGTGGATAAAAGAAGCTTCAGTGATGGATATTTGCTCAGGCCCCTATACTTATGGGCAGAATTTGCCACTTTACTCATAAATACTATATAAAAAAGTGATGACACTTACAAGGAGCCAGGATCCTAAGAAGAAAAAATATATTTAAAAAATTACAAAACAGACCCTTGCCACATATGTAACATGCCCTATTGGTTCTTCTTTCTGATTTGTATGTGTATATGTGTATGCTTGTTTCACAGGGGAAAAATAAGGAATACCTTCCATTCTATCCTACCTTGTCTTTGTATGTTAATAAGGAAAAGACCATCTCTAAGCCAGAAAAATACAAAGTTCTTGACCAAGTTGAGGTCCTAAACGAGCAAATGGAAGATTGGCCAATGCTTACCTTTTCTTTTTTTTTTTTTCTGCAAGCACTATGTTGACTTACCTTATCTTTTTATAAGCACATTTTACTTCCAGATTGACCTATAAATGTGCATTTATCTTATTTTTGGGTCCTGTCTATCTTGTCTACAGTTCCTTCTTATAAAAAGGGTATAATCTGAAGAAAGAAAATAATATCATATTGGGATGAAGGAGAAAAAACTAATTTTTTGATATGTAATGGACTATGCAAATACTCTCCAAACCTTCTGTGAACTCCCTTTGAAAAATTTACTTGAGGAGGTACTCCACCAAAAGGAAAAAATAAACCCTAAAAAGGGGAAGATATGGGACCCCCCAAATTCTCCTAATTCAGTACAGCAGTAAAAAGAAACTAATTTTTGCTTGTTAAAGCAGGAAGTCAGAAGACTTTAAGAAGAATATTTATAAGAAGAAAATGAATGTATTTTAGCAAATACAAAGATGAATGATCACAGTGATGAGAATAAAGATACATGTGTTTTTGTTAATGAGAAATAATGAAGATAATTTAAAACTCTAGAAAGTGCAAAAGCTGTATAGGAAAGTCACAATTAAGTAACATGAAGTAAGCTGAAATGTAGCATGATTTTGTGAAATAAAGAGTAAGAAAAGAGAATCTATTTGATTTTGGCACTTGATAATTATTTTTCAAGCAATATAGGTTAGTGGCATGGAATTATATTTCTTACTCCACTTTGGTTGTTTATTAAACACTATTTATACAATCATGTATAAATACGTGTTATCCTTTTTAGTAGTTAACAAATTTTAGACTCAAATTATAGAGTAAGCATTTCAAGATATAATTATAGCCACAGAACAGAATGTAAATATTACACATTTGACAAGGTCAAATTAATGAGAAAGCTTATAGAATTTAGGAGATAAGAGGGAATAGAGGATAAATGGAAGGAAGTATAGGGATCCAAATTTTCTTATCTTTAACAGGAGAAGGATTGAGATATAGAAACAAAGAATTAAATTGATTACTCAAAGTCAACAGGAGAAATATTAGTAATCTTAAGATCTAATAACTAAAAATAATGAAAAAGATAGTAACAACCCAAAAATAACACAATGATAATAACTACTAATAGCAAAAAAAAAAATGTGTATAGTGTAAGATAAATTTTTCTGCTTTAATGATTGGGGGTCAATAAATAACATCTAAAATTAATAAATCATGAAAAGAAAACATAACCATCCAAATCAAACATATGGAGGTAACTACAGAAGAACTACAAATAGAACCATACTAAAAGGATTGCTTCTGGGAAGACAGTGTTAGAGGTGGGGTGGGGGATGAGAAAGTAAAACTTTTTTTTTTTTTAATTTTACAATTTCCGTACTTTTTGGACTTTTTTTCCTTACCATGTGAATATATTATTTTTATTACATAAAAAAGGCAAAACACTTCCTGATGACTAGCTTAGTATTCTCTTCAATGATATTACCCCAAAGTGCATTCTTAATAAGAATAAAATGAGCATACTCCTGCAGGTAAAAGAGATAGGCGCAGCAGTACCAAATGAATCCTGTAATTAGTATTGCAATGAGTAGAAGCATCATGATTCCAAACATGTCAACTGAAATGTATAAAAAGAAATATATTTTAAGTTAACAGAACATCAGCAATTTCTGCTATTTTCATCTTTTCTAATATCATGCAATGTGATTCTTTAATAAATGATTATTGAAAGTAATGATACAATAACATACATTACATATTCCAATAAAACTACCATTAATACAACAATCACTAACATTTAAAAATAATCTGGGTTGCTAAAGGAGGTAACATTTGATTTACTTATTTTTAAATTGGTGAACTATTAGGCTACTGGCTTAATTTTTCTTTATTTTACCTCTAAACTCATTTCTGGTACTATCTTAATAGATAAAACAACAAATCCCTCAGGCTGTTATATCTCTAAAGATACATCTAGATAGCAGGGAATGGTTTATTGTTTGAATTTCAGCAGTCCATTACCAAAGAGACAATCAATGCTTGCTGAGAAATCGGATTTCTACCCCTTGTAAACTTTTTTTTCTTACCTCAGTAAGCACAATGTAGTTTATTAGCTTGGTGTGTTATAAAATGAAACTAGAAGGGCAAACATGAAATAGGAGACTAGAGTTTGTGTTCATACTAGTTACACGAAGTGTAACTTCTTTATAAGGCAAAAATATGTGTGATTTAAATATACCTGATAGTACCTGAAAGAAACAGAGATCTGAGGGCAAAATTTATATCTTTTTACTTCAGTGAAGGAAAAAGAAGACAACTGGTTGTTCTAGACTGGATTTTTTCACATAGCTAGGATTCACCTAGAAAGCTTTTTGTTTCCATTCTTTAAGAAAACTTCTTAAATGGTGCTGGTACGTTTTCCTGCCTTGGTAAGTATTGTATAATATACCGAAAGTCCAACATTTCAGTATAACTTAAAGATTCTTTGATGATTAATATTTGTTCACTCTTAGTTAATCATTATTCTGAATAGCAATTCTCAGTGTAGAATACATTAGCTGAAAAAATATAAGTTATAACAATGTTTCTAGATACAACATATCCTCAGACCAGGACTAGCTTATTTTAAAAATCCTGGAATTTCTAAAATGACATAAGAATATAAACATCCTTTAAGTGGGTTATGGATATCATATACTGGAGATTTTAGAAATGGAAATTTAAAGTATTCAGCTACTAGTATGGCAAAGCATCCACCAATCAAAATGAATGTTCACTTAATTTGAATGAATACTTTGCTGCAAACAACCAATAAGCCTATATCAGGAGGAAAGATCAATGAACATCCCTGGACTTGCTACATTTTTATTTTTATTTTACTTAAAGTTCTGGGATACATGTGCAGAACGTGCAGGTTTATTACATAGGTATACATGTGCCATGGTGGTTTGGACTTCCTATATTTTAATATGTAAAGCAAATGTAATAATTTATAATCCTTCAAATGTAGCAAATCACTAGCATTTGAAAGTCAATCGAAATAAAGAACATAAAAATTTAAATAAGGACAACTCACCTGCACAGTTTAACCAATATATAGAACTGAATTTACACCCAAAATATGGAAAACAATATTTTTTGCATGTTTTTTCTTCACTACACCAAATACACTATATTTGAAAAGAGAAAAATAAAAGTGGTGTCCAAGTATAATAACCATAATCCCAGGAAGTTTTTAGTACTAATTCAATAAGTATTCAATAAATAATAGCCATTATTATTATTATTATTATTTGTAGTAGATGCCTTTGGTAACTTCTTGAGATCTCCTTTGTCAGACCCATGCATCCAAACCTCAGCTGCAAAAAAGTTTTGGCTCCCAATGGCTCACAGCTTCTCCTTTTCTTGGATGACGATGGGGACCACCTAGCCCATGAGGTTACTATTTCCCCAGGCCAATGACTGACTGACATGGGGTTCCAAACAGTGGGCATCCTTGCCTCAAGTCAGGGACAACTCTACGTTGTGACTTTTTTTGCCCAAGGGCTGCCCATGGTTCAGGCCAAGAGTGAGCTTTAGCCAAGACCTCATCTTTTCTTCGCTCTTCCCCTTATCTTCCCTGAGTCTCTCACTCTATAGGATTTTTGCTGAAGAGCAGTCACTCAAAAATCACATGCACTTGAACCCCTTTCTCAGACTCTACATTTAGGAAACAAAACCAAAGATATTATTTCACAAAGTAGTAATAAGAACTGCGGTAAATTGTTTTTAAAATGTCTCTATCACTCTTTCCATTCCTCTTGCCTGCATCCCCAACTCTTTCCTTTGGGATTGCTCCTCTGTTACATGTGGCCCTGGCGGTGCTGTCAACAAGCCTTACCTCACCCCTCTCCCTACACTGTTCACTGGTGCTCAGATAATCACGCAGAAATAGGAAAATGGAATTCTAAGTCCCTTAAGCAAGGCATAAAGGTGAAAAACATTATGGGAGGTAAAACCAGAATAACCTGGAAAAGTGAAAAAAAAAAAAGACAAAGCAGTAAAAATGGCTGTCACTTAATAGGGCCTACCATGTGACAGGTACTATATTCTAAGTCCTTTATATATATCCACTCACTTCATACTGATGACAACCCGGTGATCTAGGTACTATTATGTCCACTTTATAGATGAGAACAAGAAGGCGCAGAGAAGTTAAATGACTTACATAAGATGGCATACCTAGTAAATAGGGGAGCCTGGGTTCTAACCTAAGTAGCATGGTTCCATGCTGGTAACCAATCCTGTAAGATTGAACCCAGACACTGCCCGATCACTTCTTGCTGTACATCCTGGGACCAGCAGAGGTAATGATTCACTCCAACGTAAAGAACCACCCATTAGACACTGCCTGAATACCAAGGGTATATCACAGGCCAGCTTTTGTTTCATGCTGGACAAGACTAAAGGTTAAATCAAGCCATTCAGTCAAATCTAAGATTGAAGCCACTTTCACTGAATGAGTCTTGTCCTCCTGGATGGTTGCCGAAAGACTGGAACTGCAAAGATAAGGTCTAGATTCAAAGATTACAGCCCACAGAGACTTCTGGCCTTGGTTATTAGTACTCAGAGTCTCTAGGAATCAAGTCCAAGATCTAGTAGGGTTTTAAGGGAAATGAATTGCCAGAAAAAAACCTGAACCTACAGCTAAGAGCTGTGCGCACTTAAGTGCTAAGCTGATTCCCAGGCTCCAGTAACCAAGTCCACCGCAAGCGAGCTCCTAAAGAAGTGCAGTCCCCGGAAGAGACAATTTCCCCTATGCCTCTCTCTGGTTGGAGCTCAGAGAATAATGGAAAGTGGACTCCTTCGATAGCAGCTAGACTGGTGACCAACAACTCACTGTGCAGCCAGGGAAACTCAACAATGTATTACAGACTTGGAACATATTATAGGACTATTGGCCACTATCCTCCTTCTAAACAGGAGTGTTTACTGTTGTCATCCTACTTTCTCTCTTCTGTTGAATAGTGAGTCTTTGGGAGTTGGTTTAACTGATTATATAGCTAACTTGAAGGAGTGGGTGGAGCTGTATCCAAACACAGTCAAGAGTAATGCACATCTCTCAGAGATTTCAGACTTAGAACTGGGGGCAGTAGCTGATAGTGACCTTGGGTAAGTCCAATTGCAGTTGAGATTTAGTTGTATTATTTTGCCAGGAGCATTTTTTAAAATATGGGGATGGAGAAAATAGAATATGTCTGTCCTGAAAGGTCAAGGGGGAAAAATAACAGACTGAGGTCTTTTATTTTTAAAATCTCTCTGCTACTTTGTGTCCCCATTCTTCTTTTTCTGGTAATCACACCCTCTTCTACTGAGGACCTCTTCCCCAAACCCTGTGTGATCCGGTGGCTGCCAATCAGTTTTCCCTTACCCTATTCCTACTACTGGAGTAGTCTTTTGACCCAGGCAGTAGCCTAGTAACAAATGCTGGACCAGACATAAAACCCCAATAGGGCCAATCAGAATCTTCTTTAAGTTACAACTCTTTGAGTTACAGACGTTGGGTTAGATCTGCTGGCAGCCAGCCCCTTGCCCAGCTGTATGCAGAATGTCCATTTACCACAAGAGAAAATAAAGTCAATTCCCAGAGGGAGGCAGAGCTGAGAGATGAAAGAAAAGAGGAAAATGAGAAGGACATATTTTGGTTCAGTTGTGCAAGAAGGAAAGGCCACACCTGGTCTTCCCCATATTGTGAGCCAATGAATTCCCCTTTTTATTAAATTAGTTTGAGTTTGGCTGCTGTCCCTTAACACAAAAATATGTGACTAATACCTTAACTTAATCTAGAAAGTTATCAAAGACCAGAACTTCACATTGCCCCCAAGAACACTATAATATAGTCAACATTCCTAAACTGGTAATGTATAATTTAAGGTAAATTACATGATTTTTCTCTTATAGCTAAGGAAAATAACCCATGTAAATATGAAGCCATCAGCCTCTTTGGAGTGTGACAACTGAGGAGCCAGCTAAAAGGCTTTAGAGTGATAGTTATTATGTTCTCATAGGAAAATTGTAGTACTCATTTTAGAGTAGAGCTGGTTTATTAAGCTTATATGGACATCGCAATTGCTATTTTAATAAAAATATCATTAAAATTAAAACATGCAGAAAGTGGGAAGGTACATAATAATATTTAGTGATTTAAGATTGTATAAAGCAAATGGCTTAATATTATACCAGTGGTTGGGGAATGGGGTGTGTAGAAAATCCAGGATTGTTCCGGTGAAAGAAAAGAATGGAGAGCAGATGGGGGAAAATAAAGAAAAAAAAAGCCAATGATTTCTAAAATTATGGGATGATGGTACCAGAAATAAACAAGTAAAGAACATGAGCTTCTTTGGGGAAGGCAAAATTATAAACTAAGTTAAAGAAATTTTGAGCATGATGTGATTTAAAAAAAAAAAAAAAAAAAAAACTATCCAGAAAGAAATGGCAATCAAGCAGCTGTGAGCATCACTGTTGGTGATCGTTAGATTTAAGGATGTGAATTTGGGATTTCTTTATACGCAGGTTGTGGCAGAGACCAGGACTGTGAAAGACATGGCACAAGGGTGAGGACACAGTGTGAAGAAATGCGCTCATTTAGGAGATGAAGGAATGCACTCCTTCAGGAAAATGAAGAAGAGGAATTGGTAAAGGAAACAAAATGGTGAGGGAAGAAATAGGGCCTGTATAAAGCCAAGATCGCCAAGGAAGGAGCAAGTTTCCAAAAAGAATGAGTGATTAATTTGAAAGGTTGTTGCATTTGGTTATTGAGTCTTTTGTAACCTCTAAATCAGGTTGCTAAGGATTAAATCACACTGTGTGATACGGAAGCAATGGTAGAATAAGCACAGAATAAGTACTTCAGCTTCTAGAAAGAAACAAAGAGAAGATTTTGTTTTGTTTGTTTTTTTCCATTTTGTCAGAACTCAGAAGGAAGCCAATGCACAGAAATAGGCTGGATTTGTCATAGAGGGAACAAGGAAATGAGAAAGGCTTTGAGTTTGTGAATGTGCATGCGTTTCTGAGTATGACATATAGATAGAGGTGAGGACTAAGGAATTCACCTCAGAAATGAGAACAGATTTCTCAAGGGGAAAGTTAATGTAAGAGAAAAGATATTGAATTGGTTCTGGTTAAAAATGAGGAAACTTGAACCTGCCAGATGGTCTTAAAATTCTCAAGGAAAGTCAAACCCTGAAAGGAGGATCATGCCAACAGTGGTAAAGGGCTGGGAATAGTTGCCATGGGAAATAATCCATGATACTGGTTGTCCATATATTTTTTCCAACTGAAGGACTCCCAACAGGTGATGTCCACGTTTACTGGCATATCCAGATTCGGATCCATCACCTTGTCCACTCTCCTCGACTCCATGCCCTACCACACACACACACACAAACACACACACACAATTTTTCAGAAAAATAAATATCAAAGTGGGCATCTCTTTGTGAGTTGTAAGGTACAACATTTATAAATGCATTTTACAAGCATGTGAGTAACGGTCCTTTCCTATGAACTGTGAGGCTGTGGGAGATTCAAAAATCCCACTGGGCTTACTATAACTTGACTCCTTTTTGTCTCAACCAACCATCCATATCAGGTCACAATTAGTGAGAAAGATGTGATTATGGAGAAAACTTAGAATCTACTCTGATTTTATTTAAGTCAGTTGGCCACAATCTTACGATGCTCATTAGCAAAAAGCAAAAAAAAAAAAAAAAAAAAAAAATGACAAGTCTCACCATTGTGACACCATGATTGAGAACTTTCGTTCCAAGCATTCAACAGGGATGCATAATGACTCTGAATAGCAATAAAAGCACAGATTACAAGATGCTTCACCTTTTTTAATTAGCCTGATTTTTGAAATTTTATTTCTAATATAAAATATCAACAAAAATATAATATGTTTTTCATATGCTATGTTTATGAGTTGTGTGTGTATCAGGGGGTTGTAAAAGTGATTTTTATGGATGGGTTTTTGGTAAGAATGTTTTCTAACTCTAGGAAGGCTAGTCCTATACTATGAAATCATCAGGAAATGATTCAGATAGAATCTAAGGAAGATTCCCTTACAGTTAAGAAGAATAGGCATGTCATTTATCATACAAATTGGAATATTTTGGGAAATGAAAAGGAGTTGGTATATATATATTCTCCAGGTCCATGGAGAAGTGGACATAAAGTAGCACAATATACCAACCAAGATATCTGTTCATCCTCCTAATTCTGTATTGAACATGTGGAATTATCTCTTAGTTCATTCCTATGAGGTACAGGAAATATTTTTTAAATTACACTCAAATTCACATATTCCCAGTATTTCCATAATGAATGATATTTAGAAAAATTTTAAAAATTCTCTACCGTGTTACACTGTAGAGTATACTGAATTAATTTACCCTTCTTTGAATGGCTCAAGAGTTAATTCAATAGTTATTGAATGCTTGCCATGTGTGGGAAATGTGTGAGGTGTTAGAGATACAAAGATGAATAAAACATGGATTGTGTCCTTAAGGAGCTGAGAACAAGGGGAAGGTGAACATAAAAACAATTTAAATGATACAAGTTACAATTCAAAAATGTACATGTTCAAATCCAAAAGAGAGGTATAGGGGAAGTGCAGAAGGTATTCCTCCTCTAAAAGGAGGGATAAGAACAGGTAATGATGGGAAAAATGACAGCAATGTTATCAGTCAGGGAATGAAGTTTATACCTAAGGCCTCAATTTTTCCCATAAAATTGGACATGAATGCATCTGTTGGTATTGATGGGATGGGGGAATTGCTGCTGTGGGAAATTTTAGGCAATATCCCTAACCAAAAGCAAGTGATAGGTAGTATTTGGGCTCAGGTGAGACCAGAAATTGTGACTTTGTAGCTTTATTCATCCAGATGTTGATGAAATATGTTCAAGCAGCAATCAGCTAGTGATGCATAGCAAACGAAAATATAAACCAGAGGACCAACTGGAGCTGTGGAATGTGGGTCCAGTGCCATTAAAAATATGAGGGTGTATGCCATTAAAAATAAGAGGGTGTACGCATTGTATGGCTGTATCAAAACATCTCATGTTCCCCATAAATATGTACACCTACTCTGTACTCACAAAAAAATAAAATTTAAAATTAAAAAAAAAAGAGCAAAGCCATTAAAGTACAAGTAGTTTTTACAACTCCTAGGGAAATAATCGATCTAGGCAAGGATCATTGTTGGTTGCTAATATCATCATATGCTAGACAATAAATCTTATCTACCTCCTAATGAAGGTCCTCTCAGCATGAAGCATTCCTACCAAAAAATTAAACAGAATCTGATAAAGCCTTTATATCTAATTATCAGTTTATAAGAACAAAAGAACAGGGAAAAGACCAACATGATAAAAGTCCAAAACTAGTCCAAATCCTTTTGGAATTCAGTCCAAAATTAATCCAAATCCTTTTGGGATGTGACCAGCAAAATCCAGACTGTGAGAAACCAAATAGGACAATCTAGTTTCTCCAAAAAATAAGTTGCAAAAAAGAAAATAAAAAGGGAGAAGGAACATATAGATTAAAAGATACTTAAGGTATATATCAGCCAATTGCAATGTACAAATGTGATTCAAATAAACAAACAAAAATGACTCAACAAGACAAATTTATTATTTTCTGGGTGCCTGATGATATTAAGATTATATTGTTAACTTTTAGGTATGATCATGGATGAACTTGTAATATTTAAAGTAAAATATCAATTAGAAATATATGCTTAAATATTTTTAAGCAAAATGATATGGTATCCATATCATCATTTGCTTCAAAATAATACATTTAGCGGGGAAGAGCATACATTGAAAAAAGTTGGTCAAGATGGTTCTTTGGGGTATAAAGCTTTATTATATTGCTTTCTTTTCTTTATTGGTATATATGAAATTTTCCATTATAAAACATTTAACAACAACAAAAACTGGAAGAATATTGCATTTAGGTGAACAGCCATGAGAATTCACAGGAGGGAAGGAAGTCCATTGGAGAGGGCCAATAAACTGAAGGGAAAAGAAGAGTGTTAAGGGACTGGAGGATGTTCTTGTCTTGTTGAGGCTAAAGAGTAGGTACAGTATAAGGGAGTGAGAATGTAAAAGCCAATGTAGATTGTGCAGGGTTCAGAGATGCCACAGAAGTGATGTCTTACTACACAGGGTTGAGGAAGGCAGGACACTGAGACAGAGTATGTCTGGGTCATCGCTGGCTGTGGAAAGCATGTAAGGCAATGGTAGTACCAACTGGGTGGAGAATGCCATGAGCCAGAAGCCCAGGTCCTCATTAAAGTAGACAAGTGATAGATGTTTATCTTCTTAGGGGAAGATAAGACAGGGCAGAGGGTGTATATCCAGATCACTATGAGAGACAGCAACTACTAGAGTGTGCCCTTTTCTAAGTAGTGACTTCGAGCTTCTGTTTTTGGTGTTGTCAGTTATCCAACACAAGTTAGACTACAGTGGTTTTTATGTAGCTTGCTGCAAACCTGTCTGTGACACAAAGTGGTCATTTCCCTCATAACTTATAGCATTTCTGCTTTCTTCCAAATCTGAAGTGAAGAGCAATGATTTCAGACATTTAATCATCAAAGAAGAGGAATCCAGCTACATCGTGGTTAAGGAATGGTATGTCATTCTTTCTAGTCTTTAGGAAATAGAAGTGGGAAGGAAATTGTCACCACATCTCAAAAGATATATCTTTTCCTTTACTTGCAAAAATTATTCCAAAATTTCAGTACAATTTTTTCAAGCAAATAATTCTTTTCTTTTTGAAGTATAATTTTCCAGAAGGAAGTACATGTTTGTACTTAATTATCTCCATTGTTTATTTCTAGATCCTCAAAGAATGGTTTGAAATACATAAATAGATCTTAATAACTGTTATGAGTTATTCCTGTTATTAAAAAATTATGTAAAACAAAGTTTAGCATATCTTTTAAATGACAACTGTAAATTGTGACTTTATAACGTTCCCAGAACAATTTCCTCATAAGAAAGTTAACTTACTTTCTTGTCTTTCGTGCACAATTGACAACTCTTCTTTACAGCACATTCTACAAGAAAAAAAAATTAAGTCCAAAATTAATACAAATCCTTTTTATTTCTCAGTTTTACGTAAAAGTGCATTTCACTTAGTCATTCCTGTTTTAAGCCATATTCATCCATACCCTAGCATTTTACTTCATTATTTTAATGTATTTAGACCCCCACTGGTACTGTATAAATCCTCTTAATCTTAAGTCTTTTCTCCTATTTCTTGGAAAAACATGAAATGGCATCATCCAACTTTGATGAGCCAAGTTCTGAAAAACAACCCCCAAAACACAGTAAGGAAAAACAAATTGGCAAGTCCATTGTATTTTAAAATATCAAGTATTGTTATTCAGGATGGTATTGCCAAGATATTCCTACTTAACTAACCCTTTAAATAGTTAAAAAAAAATTAATTCCCCATCTTTTTTTGCCACAAAGCTTTAAAAACTTCTCCCAAATGAGGATTTTCATTCCTCTAGTTTTATGGAAAAACAAACAGTACGATTTACATTTGAAAGTTCTAGAATAAAAACTATGAATTTGGAAAAAAGCATTTCAATGCCTCATTTTATTACTGCAACATCTCCTTAAAGAAAGGGTCTGGAATTAATGTACTAGTTGTTTTGTGATACAGCAACAATAAAGTTGCTCTCTTTATTATTTTGGGGGCAGAGTTCACAGGCTCTGTGGGAAAGGTCAGACCTTTCTATTTAATTTCAAATTGTTTGATTGGATGCAGATCTGATTTGGCTGGGGAAAAAATTTTACAGTTCAGTTTTCAAATTAAGTCCTATTGAATGTTACTTCCTCCTAGCCAAAAGTGTCCTTGAAATACCCATGGGAAAGTTGAGTGAAAGAAAAGGCAAGGTGAATGGTAAAGATTCTGCTGCCTTAGCTATGTGAAGGACAGCTGGCCTCAGGCTCCTTTCAGGAGGCAGAAGCAGGGAAACAGAGGACTCATGACTTGGCCACTGTTCTCAGAGTTCTACGTGTTTCCCACAGCTTTTTTGTAAACTAAAGTTTTTATTTTGGAATAATTTCAGATTTACAGAAAAACTGTGACGATTCTACAGGGAGTTTCTGTATACCCTTCATCCAGTTTTCCAAATTTTTTTGTTTGTTTGTTTTGAGACGGAGTCACTCTGTTGCCCAGGCTGGAGTGCAGTGGCATGATCTCCACTCACTGCAAGCTCTACCTCCCAGGTTCACGCCATTCTCCTGACTCAGCCTCCCGAGTAGCTAGTACTACAGGCACCCACCACCATGCCCGGCTAATTTTTAGTAGAGACAGGGTTTCACCGGGTTAGCCAGGATGGTCTTGATCTCCTGACCTGTGATCCGCCAGCCTCGGCCTCCCAAAGTGCTGGAATTACAGGCGTGAGCCACTGCGCTGGCCCTCCTATTGTTAATAGCTTACACTACCATGGTACATTAATCGAAACCAAGAAACTAACATTGGCACTTGACTTTTAACTAAACTCCAGGTTTTATCAGTATTTCACCAGTCTTTACGCTAATGTCGTTTTTCTTTTCCAAGATCCCATCCAGAATACCACATTGCCTTTAGTCATCATATCTCCTCTGGTCTGTGACAATGTCTCACTCTTGCCTTGTTTTTCATGACATTGACAGTTTTGAGGACTACTATCCTCACTCCTTTCAGATATTTTGTAGAATGCCCCTCAACTAGGATTTGTCTGATGCTTTTCTCCTGATTAGATGAGAAATGAGTTTTGGCGAAGAGCGAAGAGATGAAGTTCCCTCCTCAACACACTGTGTCAGTAAATGGCCTGCTCAACCTCCATGGTTGAGGTTTAGATTGAGCATTTGTATAACTAACCAGCCATCTCTTTAATATTCATTTTTGCCCTTATTGGAAAACTAATGAGGGTACAGCTGACCTATGTGTTACGTGAATCAGTAGGTTCTTTCTTCTGTTCTATTCCTAAAGAACAAGGTTCTAGCTATCTCCATGGCATTATCAGGTACCAGATTCTTTCACCCTAAAGGCCTGATGTTTGCATATATGTTTTCTATCTGGTTACTTCTTTGCTCTTGATTACATTTTTCATGATTTCTGTATCATTTCTCCTAGCTCTCTTAGAACATCACTGGCCTTTCTTTTTCAGTTTCTTTGACCGGTTCCACTCCTATCAATGTCTGAAATGTTGCTGTTCCATAAAGTTCCATCCATGATCCTCTTCTCCCATGAAGAATCATAATTTCAAATGCCTAGACATACCTGGCATCAAAATATATTATGCCAAATATCAAAACAAAATTTTTTATTGGCATTGCAATACATTAATAATACAAAAATAAAGTTTATCTGCAAGGGAAAATTTTTCAAGAACATCTAAGAGAAAAAAACAATGGGGAGTATATGTAAAATAATAAGATTTTATATATTACATTTCTTCTTATATTTTATTTACCTGTTACATCTATTTTAAAACTATGTTGTTAGGTGAATAAAGGTTTGTCATATGTCATCTTGGTGTACTGTACTACATGTCAATATGGAATATCACTTTTTCTTTGACTTAATGATTTCTTTTACTTGAATTCAGTTTTATATAATATTGCTACACTTGCTTTCTTTTTCAGTAGCATTTGTAAGGTATATCCTATTCTATCCATTTATTCTTTATTCCCTTATTTTCTCTAGTGGCTTCAAAATACACATTCTATTTCTATTCCTGAGCTGTTATTTTAAAAATTTGGGGAGATATTTTATATGCATCTTTCTATCATCATTTAATCAGGATCTACATTCTCAACCTAGACAAAGATCCTAATATGTTTTTACTCTTCTCTTTCTCACCATACCACTTCCCAATTAAATAACTTAACTACTTAATAGCAGTTAAACTTCCATATGATTTCTGTGTCATATGGATTTCAGAAATCAAATGGAATTTTAACTACTATTAAAGTTATTAATAATTATTAGACATATTTAAATTTGCTGTTGACTTACAATAAATTATTTAGAATTAACTCTTCATTTTACTAGTTTCTTTGCTTACTACTCTTTCTTGAATCCCACATTTTCCCCTTGGATTCATTTTTCATTTTGCTGGATTATATTCTTGAATATTTTTTTCAGATGTCTGTGAATGATAGACTCTTTGACTCTTCAAGTGTCCAAATGTTTTTATTTTGTATACCTTCTGGAGCACAGCTGGCTTAGTCTGTTAATATGTTCTAGTTTCAATGCCATTTTTTTCAAAACTTTAAAGATATTTTTTCTTCTTCTTCTTTATTTTATTATTATTTTTTTTGACAGAGTCTCATTCTGTCACCAGGCTGGAGTACAGTAGCGTGATCTCGGCTCACTGCAACCTCCGCCTCCTGGGTTCAAGCGATTCTTCTGCCTCGGCCTCCCAAGTAGCTGGGACTACAAGTGTGTGCCACCACACCTGGCTCATTTTTATATTCTCAGTAGAGACAGGGTTTCATCATGTTGGCCATCTCCTGACCTCGTGATCTGCCCACCTTGGCCCTCCAAAGTGCTGGGATTATAGGCGTGAGCCACCATGCCCCGGCCAAAGATTTTTTTTGTAAATTTTTCTTTAGTTCCTCTCTTCCATTCCTCTCCTCCTGAAACTCCTATTACATTAATGTTGGCATGAACTCTTGTCTCTTTTTTCTACAGGTTATCTCTTGTTCTTTTGTACTGCATTCTGTAAGAATTCCATGGCTCAATTATTGAGCTTGCTAATTCACTCTTCAGCTACGTTTGTGTTTATTATATTTTTAATTTCCAAGATTCGTAATCTTTTCCAGAATAGCCTGTTCATGGATATCTCCATGAGAATACTAATCATAGTGCTGAGAGAGGCATCCATCCTAAACCCTGAGCATCTCTGGATTTCCTAGCTAAGTGTGCCAAACTTCTTGGCCTAATTATCCTCTGACCCTGCACTTATTCTGTATCTGGTAACATAGTCAATTAAATAGGTCAAGGCAACCACAGTGTGACTATAGTCACGATTACTCCCCAGGGACTAGATTTTTTACTGCTTGCTATAAAAGTTCATAAGCTCTTAGTCCTGGGTTCCTTAGCTCCAGTGCAACTGGCTGCATTCATAAGCACGTTCCTAGCTCCAGTGCAACTGGCTGCATTCATAAGCACAATCTGACAGCACTGCATTGCTCTATGGGACTTGTCCTGGGTTCCTTAGCTCCAGTGCAACTGGCTGCATTCATAAGCACAATCTGGATACACTGCATTGCTCTATGGGACTCGAGGGCAGGAGATTTGGTGCTGCCATACTGACGTTCCTGCTGTTGGCTGTGCTATGAGTAATAAACCGTCTGGCACTGATCCATTGAGTCTCACTGTCTACTTTTAGCACCTATGGAGTTGTGGCAAGCCAATCTACTTGCTAGCTTAGTCATTTCCTTTGGAATCTTGTTAGTCCTTGCCATTTTCTGTAAGAGAAGTTTCTAATTCCAAGGTGTTTTTTCCCCTCTATTAAATGTGTTTTAATAAATTGGTTCTTTCCTTTATTGGGTTTCGTGATTCTTGATTGTGTTAGCACAATCAAGTTAGGATTTAGGTGTATGTATATAGGCTATTTCCACCTCTGTGGTGTGGGCGAGGATTGGGACATGCTGCCAAGTTCAGTGTGTTGGTAGTATATCTTTTCCTGCCTTTCCAGGCCAATAATTCACATTCATTGTTAACCTGGAGCAGTTGCCTCTGCTGCCTCTGCTGCCTGCTTCTTGAGACAGTTGAGAAGGTGGAGAGGCAACCAGCTATAGTGCTTTAAGATCAGTTCCCAGGAAGCTGCTGCACAACTCCCTCGTGCTCTTTGTATTCACTGCTGCTGAACTTGGAGCAACCCCAGAAACCACTCTTACATTAGTCTTCTCTTATGCGTGTTTTAGGCTGTGGCTTTCTCCATTAGTCTGATCTCAATTGCTTTCTGTTTCTCAGGGATTCTTAACATTTTCTGGCTCTCATCTCGTTTTCCAGCACTGTCATAATATATGTCTCTATCTCTATATCTAGTCATGTGTTGCATAACATTATCTTGGTCAACAGACTGAATATAGGACGGTGATCCCTTCAGATTATAATACTGTATATTTTTACTATTCCATTTCTATGTTTAGGTAAGTTTAGATACACAAATACTTACCATTGTGTTACAATTGCCTGCAGTATTCAGCATAGTAACATGCTGTATAGGTTTGTAGCCTAAGAGCAATAGGCTAATCTAGCCTAGGTGTACAGTAGGCTATACTATCAAGGTTTGTGTAAGTACACTCTATGACATTCACACAATGATTAAATTGCCTAATGCATTTCTCAGGATACACCTCTGTCATTAAGCAACACATGACTGCATAATGTTTATTGAAAACTTACCATGTACTAGAAAACGTTCTGAGTGCATAACATAGATTAACTCATTTGATCCTCACAACAACCATTTACAGAAGATACTATTTTATTCTTATTTTACTGATAAGGAAATTGTGACACAGAAAGCATGGGCCTAGTAAGCAACAGAGCTGGGAGGAGAGTCCAGCCAGTGTGAGCTGCTGCCTGTGATAACTGTGTTCTTCTGCCTCTCTGGTGAAACAAGTACTGTCAGAGAGGCGCAGCTAAGTATAGGAGCAACTATTCATTCAGATTAGGTGGACTAAAGGAAGGCATCATAGAAGAGGTAGAATTTGATCTAGGCCTATCAATATCAGAATTCAGTTTTACATCACAATTCAGCATAATGTCAAATCCCCCATTTCTGGTAGTGGCAGAAAACCATAAACTTGCAATCTCAGTCAATTAATTCATCCTCCTTTGAATAAACGTTTAGTTAAATGTAGGGTTTGCTCCTTCCCCCTTTACCTTGGGGATGCTATACTTTTCTGGGAGCAAAGGCTATGTGTTGCCCGGGTACTAGGGTGTGACTGGACTGAGTCCCCTCCTCCTTCCTTACTAGCCTCACTGTGTGAATCTCACCTGTCCACTTCTTAGGGAGTGTCATGTCTAGTATCTGTGGTCCTGCTGTGGTTTCTAGACATGAGATCCAGTATTCTCTGGGAAAGACCTTTCCCTCTTCAATTTTGCCAGCTCTTGCAAGAACTGCCTTGTCTGTACCCCACCCACTATATTGGGAATTTTAGGGCTCTCTACTCTTTTCCCTACAAAATTCTTATGTCCAAGGGATTCTGACATGCAGTCCTTGAATCCATTTGCTAAGATACTTCTTCCTGCTACTATTACCTACTGTTTGGGAGCCATGTTAGCCTCGTGTTATCTGTGAGACCAGTGGATTCAGAGTAAACTCTAGAAAGTGAGTCACAAGTTCCTAATGTTTTCAGATTCTCCTTCAACCCATATGACATTTTTATTATCTCACCCTTCCTTTACCTCAGCCAGAAGTGGTATACCAGGTTTCTCTCCTGGTTCCCCATCAGCATTTAAACCTTGTGTCAATGCTCTAATCCTCCTAATACCTGCTTGCTGGTCAAAATCTGAAAGCGCTTTTTGTCTTAAAGATGGCTATATGAAGTTAGGATCCAACCAGGAAAACAGAAATCACTTTGTGTATTTATAACACTGGGAACTTAGTACCGAGGTTGGGTATGCAGGTGATGAAAGAGGCTGAGAAGTTTGCCAGGGGAAAGAAAGCAAAGTCCCACCTCCTCCCAGATAACAGCACCCCCTAGGCTAGAGGACAGAGGAATGAGGCAGCTACCAGAGACCACTACAGTAAGCTTAGAGTATGTGAAAAATATTCTTGGTGTGTTCACCATTAGCAGAAATAAACAAATGAAGACAGAAAACTCAGAAGCCTTGCTTTATATTCAAATTATTTGACCTTCAGTTTATTTCCTTGGAGGTATCTGCCTTTTAATTTCATTCTGATATCTTGCTATTGACTTCAAGGCTTGTTTCACTGAATATTTCTTGTTTGATTGTTCTCTAGCTCAAAGCACTTGTGGGAAATTTTCATGTTTCTTGAGTTGTGTTCTCTTCTAGGGTAGATTATTTGGGGTGTGTGTGTGTGTGTGTGTGTGTGTGTGTGTGTTTGCATGCTATCATATAGTCCTTTATTTCTTTATTTTGCTGTGCAGGGTTTACACAGTTGCTTTATTGTTTTCATTCTACTAATGATTGCATAGCTCTGTTCAGACCTTCCATTTGTATGCTATCATATAGTCCTTTATTTCTTTATTTTGCTGTGCAGGGTTTACACAGTTGCTTTATTGTTTTCATTCTACTAATGATTGCATAGCTCTCTGTTCTTAATCACATTTGTTCTGGATATATGTAGGTGGGATCTTAACCACCTTACCACGATCCTTGGAGATTTTTCAAGAACCTACAGTTTTATGGCATTTTATGTTCCCATTCACCCCCATTGTTTTCAGCATTAGACAGGGGGGAGAACTCAAATGAAGCTGTGCCAGACTTTGTTAGAATGTCTGACTCTGCTCTCTCTTTTGAGGTTTGTCATTTTTCAATGTCAAGGTTTGCTAAAGCTTATCAGAGGTTTTTTCCATTTCCATGAAGGGGTTTCTTTGGACTCTAGATCTGCCCTCAAATCCAGCTTGTAACTCAGGAACCTGAGTTTCCATCAGAGAGTCAGGCCCTCTCTCTCAGGTCCTCATTCCACTTATTTCTCTTCAGTAGCCATTTCCTCTTCTCATCTTCAGAATAAGATAAAGAATAGGATACCCGGGCCGGGCGCGGTGGCTCAAGCCTGTAATCCCAGCACTTTGGGAGGCCGAGACGGGCGGATCACGAGGTCAAGAGATCGAGACCATCCTGGTTAACACGGTGAAACCCCGTCTCTACTAAAAAAATACAAAAAACTAGCCGGGCGAGGTGGTGGGTGCCTGTAGTCCCAGCTACTTGGGAGGCTGAGGCAGGAGAATGGCGTGAACCCGGGAGGCGGAGCTTGCAGTGAGCTGAGATCCGGCCACTGCACTCCAGCCTGGGCGACAGAGCTACACTCCGACTCAAAAAAAAAAAAAAAAAAAAAGAATAGGATACCCACTCAACTTATTTCTCTCCAGATTTGGGAGAATCAATAAAAGTTCTTGTATTATAGTAACTCATTAGTTACCTCTAAGAGAGGGTAGTAACATTTGGAGTCTTGCCATGCTGTGCTATTCTGTTCTGATCCAGAATCTTCCAGTTCTTTCCTTAGTTGCCACTTATTTTTTGCACTATGACCCTTTGTTGTCTGGTTACTTCTAGTGAATAAAATTCTCTAGGTTTCAGTACATTTTTTAATCCATTCATTAGATTCTAGAAGATTAACCTAAAGTTGCATCAAGTGCTTACTATAATTTCTTGAAATATTGATTATTAAGCTCTCAAATGTAAATGAACATCAGAGTTAGAAGCCCTGGGGATCAAAACAACCTGCTTAGCGGGAGGTCTCACTTGATGTGCGATCCTTCACAAAGTCCTGTCTGTTGCCTGTCACTCAGGGCATAATCTGGGACATAGATGAGGATCTCGTGAAGACTTAGAAGCCCCTTCTCAGTTTTGGAAGTGAAAAGTGTCATGATGTCTAAGAAACCATATCCTTGTTAGATGGGAAGATTAAATGCAAGCACTAAGGGGAACTGGCCCGAGACTAAGATGCAAGCATTCAGGGGAGGCCCTTGGCAGGCAAGCTGTTTCCTTAGAAACATGAACTCCAGCTGGCCAGCCCTAAAAGTGAGTTAGCTAGCAACAGAAATTTCCATCTTTGGAGATTATCTTATCTGTGATTTTTGATTTATTTTATTTGTTTGCTTTTTTTTTTTTTTTTTTCTCTTCATCAGTATTTTGATAAAGTCTTGTGAAAAATTTCCAGTATGAGTCCAAGTTTGCTAGGGAACAAAATGAATAATTTGTTTCTATGTTTGGGCCTATGCTTTTAGGTGCTGTTTGTTGGGAGAAGGGGCCAGGATGGCACTGGAACACTATTTCTCTTAGAGTACGTATAGGGGTGACCAAGAGGTTAAAAAAGAGAAATCTGTGGGAAAGATGAAACCAAAGAAAACAAGCTAGGTATTTTAATTCAGCATCCCCCCAACCCTACCCCCTCAAAGGAGATTCTTAGTTCAGTGCAACGCTGAGAACTGTGGGTTTGGTTTTAGTAAGGAAGACTGATTTACTTACAGATACTAACATTCTTTTCTACTCTGGAAACCAGACAGCAGTAATTATTCTGTCTCATAGTCTTTGTAAAAATGGCAATCTTGGCTTTACAGGGCACTTTCCAAGTAATTCAAATTCTGTCTCTTATTTTGTCTATACGGTTCCAATTTAGGATACTAAAAACCTTATTTCCAGGTTCATGAATTTAACTCAGCATGACTTTTAACATTTCAAATTTTTTTCAATTGGGAAGGGAAACCAAGAGATGCCTCCAAACTGAAGTAATTTGTTGTTGTTTTTTTTTTATGAAAAGGAACAAATAAAGCATTTTATTAACTATCTTTAAAAACTTAAGAAAAAGGAACTATGACCATTGAGTGGGTTTGATTAGAACAAAACCCAACGACTTAATCACAACAAAAAGCTTATATGCCATAGGTCATGCAAAAAGTGATGAGGGAGAAACCATGTTTTTCCTCAAATTTAAAACTGTTTGAATCCACCTTTCATATTTCAGATAAACCAAATTAATCTGACTCCAATTTAACTGAGTTTCACCAAAACCATCTAGAGCCTTTAAAATGTCTTCCCACCAACACCAAATGACAACTTTTGAGATGAAAATTCCAGTGCACCAGGATGGCACAATTAAAAGGAAAAACTACGCTGGAGCATATGGGGCACCCGCCTCAGGACTCCGGATCACTCACCCTCTTCAGTCTTATCTCTTGGTTTCTGATTGTTCCTGGGGCTGTGGAAAAAACCATTCTCTGAGAAGCTGATAAGCAATTGGATAAGAAAGAGGGAGAGAAAAACTGGCAGGAGGATCTGGCCCCATGCCCGCAGCCAGCACATCTCTCTTCAGACCTGGTGACCCCAGCCACTGGGAACCTGGCAGGCACCAGCTACAGTGTTGGACACTGAGACCCGCTCAGGGACTGTGACCTACCACAGCCCCGGGTCCTTAGGCTGCCACTTGTAAGCCCTGGATGCCAGCATAATCAGCAGAACCTTAGAATCCCTAATGTTCTAGCCAGAATGTGGAATGTTCATAGTGCAATCCTGGTCAGCACTGAGTCCCGCTTCCCGGGCCCTGAATACCATGTACAGTCAGTCCATTGGACTTGACTGAGGTCTATTTCCCCCAAATCAACACTTTTCCCTACTACATTGTTGTTTTTTGGAGAAAGACCTTGATTCTAATTTCCACTACGTGAATATGTGTACAGCGGTTGCACTCTTCCATGCTGGCTTTTCTCTGATGTAAATGAACCTACCACCCACCGCATTCCGTGGGAGTGGTTGTGCGATCAATGAGTGGTGAGGCCGTGAAACTCACAGCTCTGTAAACCCTTGGTCTTGTCCTTGACTAGCCTAGTGATCCTCTTGACGTGCTCTAATGCAGTTTCCTGAAGGTTATGTTTGGGTAGTACATAAATGTCTTTTATTTTCATAGTTATGAATTTATTTTAATGCGTATTGGAAAAATATAACCAGTAGTTACAATGATGTAATAGCAACAATATATGCTTTTAAAATGAATCTATGCAAAAAAGGACAATTTTCATAAATATAAATAGTACACAACTTAAAGGATATGGCAAAACTTGGGGAGGTGGTTCCAGAATGATTGAAATTTGAGCAATCTTGCCCCAGTGTGTGTGGCAGGGGAGGGGTAGAGGTGGGTGATGAAAACTTGTCCTTGACCAGGAATTATCTCGTTCTGTTTTTCAAAAATGATGAGGTGGGGGCCGGGCGCGGTGGCTGAAGCCTGTAATCCCAGCACTTTGGGAGGCCGAGATGGGCGGATCACGAGGTCAGGAAATCGAGATCATCCTGGCTAACACGGTGAAACTCCGTCTCTACTAAAAAATACAAAAAACTAGCCGGGCGAGGTGGCGGGCGCCTGTAGTCCCAGTTACTTGGGAGGCTGAGCCAGGAGAATGGCGTAAACCTGGCAGGCGGAGCTTGCAGTGAGCTGAGATCCGGCCACTGCACCTCCAGCCTGGGCCACAGAGCCAGACTCCGTCTCAAAAAAAAAAAAAAAAAAAAATTATGAGGTGGGAAGATCGCTTGAGCCAAGACGTTCGAGGCTGCAGTGAGCTATGGTTGCATCAGCACACTCCAGTCTAGGCAGCAGAGCAAGATCTTGTCTCTAAAAAAATTATTTTAAAAAATTAGAAAAAAAAAAAAGAAGGAGTTTTCCCATAGTATTCCTGGCATATTCATCTCGACTGCATCCTGAGGACTATGGGTCGAGTATGGACAATAAAGATGGAGGAGGAGAAGATGTGCAGAGTTCCAGGCTACTTTTTCTTTACCCATTTGCAATGCAGCTGACAGACAGAGGGTTATTAGCTATAACATAAAAAAAGTGCTTTCATAAACTGACAAAAAAAAGGACAAAAGATAAACAATAGGAAAATGGACAAGAGATGTGGAGAATCCATTGACAGAAAATTAAATCCAAGTAGCCAATGAATACATGAAAAAAATTGTTTAGAAACACTAGTACTAAGAACTAGGAAATTATAAATTAAAACTAATAATGTAAACATCAGGTAGGCAAGCATTTATAAAGAAAACTAAGATATCATTGGTGAAGTTGTGGGGGAAAAGGTACTATTATACTTTTTGGTGGAACTGTAAATTGTTACAGTGTCTTTAGAAAGCATCATTGCAGCAGCCATTAAAATGAAAAATACATATATTCTATGTGTATATTGTTTCTTGGAGACCTGCCCCTCACTGCCTCTCAGTTCTCACAGTGTGGGTGGAGTTCCAACTCCTACCTTGGAAGCAGGACATGAAAACTACATCTGAGCAAAGCAGGTCATAAAACTTCCCTGGCCACCATGCCTGGCTCAGGAGTGGGCTCAGGAGTGGGCACATGACCTAGGCTGGTCTAATCCAAGTCAATCTCAGAGCTTTTGCTAGGAATGCTAGGATAAAGATGCCTGTCTTCCTCTGGATTCAAACTTGGAAGGACTTATTCTGTGTAACTGCTAAAAGCCCTCATAAGTCTATGTGGGAACCAGGCACGTTGGCTTACGCCTATAGTCCTAGCACTTTGGGAGGCTGAGGCAGGCAGATTGCTTGAATCCAGGAGTTCAAGACCAGCCTGAGCAACATTGTGAAACCCTGTCTCTACAAAAAAAAATACAAAAAGTTAGCCAGCATGGTGGTGTGCACCTAGAGTCCCAGCTACTCATGAAGCTGAGGTACAAGGATCACTTGAGCCCAGGAGGCAGAAGTTGCAGTGAACGGAGATTGCACCACTACACCCCAGCCTAGGCAACAGAACAAGACCCTGTCTGACAATGATAATAATGATAAAAAGAAAAAGACTATGTGGAATATGGCCATAAAAATGCCCCTATCAAAGTAAAAGTGACTGATGGATTCAGCTGCTGTCCCTCAGATGTATCCACCATATTCATCCCAAGGTCATGCTTCCTATAAGCTACTTTCTGCCAAGACTAAACATAGAAGGGATAATAATATGGGATACTTTTAGTGGGAGATCTTGGCTGGAAAATTCCCCATCAAGGTGGTTGAAACTTTCTTAGAACTGTGCTGCACTTTGAAACTCTACCAACCAAATTCTCCTTCCTCTTTTCCTCTCTCTTCTTCACCAGTGTCAGACCTGCATTGCTGTTTGAAGGTTCTCACCTGCACTAGCTCCTTCCCTCTTATTTTTTACTTTCTTTTTTTTTAAGATGGAGTTTTGCTCTCTCTTGCTGCCCAGGCCGGAGTGCAATGGCATGATCTCAGCTCACCGCAACCTCCACCTCCTGGGTTCAAGCAATTCTCCTCTCCCAGCCTCCTGAATAGCTGGGATTACAGGCATGTGCCCCCACGCCTGGCTAATTCTGTATTTTTTTTCAGTAGAGACGGGGTTTCTCCATGTTGGTCAGGCTGGTCTCAAACTCCTGACCTCAGGTGATCCGTCCACCTCAGCCTCCCAAAGTGCTGGGATTACAGGCGTGAGCTACTGTGCCTGGCCTCCCCTTTATTTTTTTTGTTTCCCAAGTAAAACTCTTGGACTTCTAATCCCATCTTAGCAGATCTTGAAGGACTTGAGCTAATACAAATGCTACTGAGTGTTCTGACAGAACCAGTGGTAAGATAAAATTTTGAGATTTGTTTACTTACTCTCCGATGGACAAAGAAGATACCATATTAAGCAGTATGTGGAGTATGGATAACTCCTAGGAAGAGATGGCAGCTGCATTGTTAAAGACTTCACGGTGATGAAATGTTTTCTACCTAGGAAAACAAACTGGTAATTGGGAATCCCCTGGTTAGTATAATAATTGAAGCATTTGAAAGATATAGGGGGACAGTGCCTGCAAGGACAACAGAGTTGGTTGGTTACAGAGTAGTACTGATGCCTTGCAGAGGGACAATGAGAAACCACATGCCTTTGATTGGCAGTTAAAGGTTAAGTATGAAAGCTACAAGGTATCTTTAGCAGCCCTTATCTCCAGTAGTGGAAGAGTGGAGAAAGCTAGCAGCAGATTGAGGATATGATAGTTACAGAGCTCCAGAGGCACTTAGATTATACCAGCCAGGCAGGTCTGTATGCTAAAGGTAAGAGCTTGGGTTGGGAAAACGGAATCCTGAAACAGCTTCTGTGGTGAAACATTATTACTCTATTACTTTAAGAACCCCACTATCCCCATGGATGTTAATGAGTTCAGCTCTGTGACTGCCTCTACTGTCAGTTTTGGCCTGCAGAGGGGAGCTGCTGAATTTTTTAATGATGTTGGTGCCCTTCTTACCAGCACATTCTTGATGGCCTTGGTGAGTGGATGGATACCGCTAATGTTGACTCTGCAGATCCTCCAGGAATCTAAGAACTTGCAGGAGTGGCCAACCCTTCTGCTGGAAAACGCAGTAAGTGTATCTTAATAGGTGTCCTCTCAGGAGAACCCCTACCTCTTCTCTTGGCTGCTAGGCCAATAACTAGGGTTAAATCCAGTGGGGGACATGCTGAGCCTAATAAGGGAGGAAAGAAATTATATTCCAAGGTATAACTAGCCAATGAGGGCCATCAATACTGAATTTTGAGGGTGTCTGAACAGGGGGCTAGAATATGACACTGAACAAGCAAGGTTTCTTTGACTTGGAAGTACTTTTGTAGGACATGAAATTTAATGGTCTGGTAATACCCAGGGGACAGTGCTAACTCATTGTTAGAATGGCTCTTAGAAGCGTAAGAAAGTGATCCAACACTGAGCAAAGTGGAAATGCCTGAGTTGCCTAGGCAGGAGGAAGAGGAAGGAATAAAAAGACTGAGAAGGAGAAGTAGGCTTGCTGGAGTGGCTATATTATGTGAGGTCAGAAAAATTACAAGATAACTATGTTCCAGGGGAGAGTCCAGAGGAAACACCATTCACCAAGGAAATCGGGAATGTGCTGGTAAGAAGGGCACTTGCATCACTGAGAAGTTCAGTAGCTTTCTTCTGCAGGCCAAGACTGACAATAGAGGCAGTCACAGAGCTGTAATTGTTAATATCCAATGGGAATACTGGGGCCTCCAAAGTAATAGTGATCATGTCATGGCATGTAAATGAAAGAAGCCAGAATCTCACAACCATCAAGATCAGAGGGGTGGTCAATGGAAGCCTGCCTACAGCAAGGTATAGAGATGGGTAAGAGACCATGGCACCTCTAGGGGCAAAACAGGGGAGTAGCCAGTAAGGGAGATGTTTAACATCCACAACCAGAAAAGGGCAATGATGGAGGAGTAGGAAGCTGATGACAATGACCCCAATAAACAGTCATTATCCCTTGCTCACTGTATTAGTCCATTCTCACACTGCTATAAGGACATATATAAGACTTGGTAATTTATAAAGGAAAGGTTTAATTGATTTACAGTTCAGCATGGATGGGGAGGCCTCCAGAAACTTACAATCATGGCAGAAGGGAAAGCAAACACAACCTGCTTCACATGGTGGCAGGAAGGAGAAGTGCCAAACTAAGAGGGAAAAGTCCCTATAAAACCATCAGATCTCATGAGAACTCACTCACTATCACGAGAATAGCAGCATGGGGGTAACCAGCTCCATGATTCAATCACCTCCCATCAGGTCCCTCCCATGACATGTGGGGACTATGAGAACAACAATTCAAGATGAGATTTGGGTGGGACACAGCCAAAGCATATCATTCTGCCCCTGAACCCTTCCAAATCTCATGTCCTCACATTTCAAAACACATTTATCCCTTCCCAACTGTCACCCAAAGTCTTAACTCATTTCAGCATTAACTCAAAAGTCCAAGTCCAAAGTCTCATCTGAGACAAGTCAAGTCACTTCTGTCTATGAGCCTGTAAAATCAAAAGAAAGTTAGTTACTTCTTAGATACAATGGGAATATGGATATTGGGTAAATACACCAGTTCCAAATGGGAGAAATTAGCCAAAATGAAGGGGCTACAGGCCCATGCAAGTCTGAAATCCAGCAGGGCAGTCAAATCTTAAAGCACCAAATGATCTCCTTTGACTGTATGTCTCACAACCAGATCATGCTGATGCAAGAGGTGGGCTCCCACGGCCTTGGGCA